TGTATTTCTATATTTGCCACCTCCTCTGGCCGGCGTGCCCGCCCCACTGCCCTTGGCCAATGTCACCAGCTACCTCCAAATGTCCCCCGCCACCCCCACGCCGCCCCAGCTCATCGCCATGAGCACAGCACAGCACCCCAGGGTGAGTTCCTCTGGCGTGGGCCCTGTGCACAGATTGGGGGGGAGACCGTGACTGTCAGAGAGATGTGACAACTGTCAGATCCATGACTTCAGCTCGGTAGACTTGGAAGCGGTCATGGCTCTTTTGGTTCTGTGGCTGCATGAAAAATTACATTAGTCCTCCGCTGGAGGTTAAAAAAAGAAAGGAAAAGACCGGCCAGCGTGGCTCAGTGGTTGAGCGTCGGCCTATGAGCCAGGAGGCCACATTTTGATTCCTGGCCGGGTCACATGCCTGGGTGGTGGGCTCCATCCCCAGTGTGGGGGGTGCAGGAGGCAGCCGATCCACGATTCTCTCTCATCATGGATGTGTCTCTCTCCCCCTCTCCTTTCCTCTCTGAAATCAATAAAAATATATAAAATAAAAAATAAATAAATCTCAATAAAAAATCAATAAAATATATATATTTTTTTATAAAGAATAAAACCTTCTCCTTCTCACAGCAAAGAAAGTTCTAGTAGTCTCTGTATGGCACTGAGCTCTCTTATGAACTAGGACAAAATAATTCCTAGGGAAAAAAACATGCATAAATTTATCACATATCCACTTGAAAACCTGTCGCTTAGCTTGGAAAAAAATAAAACCCTTCGCGTCAATCCTTAGAATGGAAAACACCATCATTAAGCAAACTGAGATCTGTCCTAATAATCTATAATGAAAAAAGCGTAATATGCTAATTAGACCAGACATCCTTCCAGAGGACCTTCCAGACTAAGCCAGGGCTGCGAGGGAAGCCCGGGTCCTGGGTGCCAGAGGAAAGCCGGTGCCAGCAGCCCGGGGAAGGAAGGCCTACTCTTGTCTGAATTTCGTGCATCGGGCCTCTAGTATTAGAACAACTATCTTCTAAGTCAAAAGCATGACTCGTCAAAAAAAAAAAAGGCAAAACCATGACTCAGCAAGAATTCAAATGCGTGACAGCAAAAAGTGAAAACCATGACTAAGGTGTCTGAGGTTTATCAAACACTTAGGTCTCGCCTTACATTAATACGTGGATTTGTCATTTCCTAAGATATTTATATCATCTTATGTTTTGCATTCTATTACACATTATATTATACTACATTACAAAATGGACTCCGCCAAACTTAATTCAATTTTTGTCGTATTCAGGAAGCATTTCTCTATCGCGGTATTTGACTCAGAATCCATCCTTATGAACCATTTATTATAAATGAGCCATGCGGCTACCAGTTAGGAAAGCATGCTGGTTGGTAACGAGCTGGGTAAATCCATTTTTACTAAAAATAAAAAAATAATAAAAATAAAAAATAATGCTTACCCAAACATAAGCCTGTTGTATTTTCATGAAAAAAATTTTTTTAAAAGGAAATGAAAATTGCTCCTGTTCTGTGAAATACGAGAAAGGCGCGGAACCATGTACTCACGGTGAGTTCGCAGAAATCGACGCTGTCCAGGCTTTTGCTTCTGTGTAATCTCCCTTTGATTCGCCTGAGGGAAGGCTTCCCTTGGCTGTTACTAGACGTAGCACCATTCTCAGAGGATGGCGTTACCCTGCAAGAAGGGGGAACGTGTGTTTTTTTAATTTTTTAAAGGCATATTTTTAAAAAAATATATTTTATTGATTTTTTACAGAGAAGAAGGGAGAGAGATAGAAAGTTAGAAACATCAATGAGAGAGAAACATCGATCAGCCGCCTCCTGCACATCTCCTACTGGGGATGTGCCCGCAACCCAGGTACATGCCCTTGACCGGAATCGAACCTGGGACCTTTCAGTCCGCAGGCCGACGCTCCATCCACTGAGCCAAACCGGTTTTGGCATAAAGGCATATTTTTAGAAAATATGTTTTTCTTGACTTCAGAGAGAGGACAGGAGAGGGAGAGAGAGAGAGAGCAACATTGATGAGAGGGAAACATCGACCAGCTGCCTCCTGCACGCGCCCTACTGAGCCACACTCTGCAAAAAATTGGCAACAGGACTCAGCAAAGGATCAATACTTGACTTTTTGGTGAGCGATGCTTTAAGTTTTTTGCCGCGTCGAGCTTTCAGTTAGCTTAGCTAGATAGATCTGGTTGATTGAATCAGTGGGTGGGATCAGCTACATTGGATTAGTTTGCTTAAATCAATTTATGCGATAAACCAGCTTGTACTGGGCTGATTAAATTAGTGTGTGATATTAGCTCGATTGGACTAGCATGCTTAAATTAGGTTGATTATATATATACTAGAGGCCTGGAGCACGGATTTGGGCATCACTGGGGTCCCTTGGCCTGGCCTGCGGGGATCGGGGCAAAACCGGTTCTCCGACATCCCCCCAGGGGTCCCGGATTGTGGGAGGGCAGTTCTCTTGTGACACTCCCCGAAATTGGGCTCCCTCCTCTCTGGTTCTGGGTGGCTCACCCGAGAACCGCAGCTGCTACGTCACTGCAGCTCGGCAGCTCCTGTGTTGAGCGTCTGCCCCCTGGTGGTCAGTGTGCGTCATAGCTACCGGTCAGATGGCCAGACGGTCACTTAGGCTTTTATATAGCGATATACACATACGTATATAAAGAATAAAAAGGAATTAAGCAAAAATAATCAAGATGATAAAAAAGTTATACAAGAACAAAAGGAAGACTTAATAAACCTTCTACAACATATTTCTTTTTAAATATCAGCAATGGACAGCGATGGCCACCTCAAGGGAACAAAGCACCCTTCCCCAATGGAGGGGGATTCCAAACAGGGGCGTGGGCGCCGGAGCCTGGAGATACCGATAAACACACAAAACCGCTGACGTCACCCTAATCCTGACGCTTTCTGAAGAATGCTTCAGCAGAATCTAGTAAAATGCTAATTTTCCTTAATAAGTATAAGGCTTCGGAAACCTTAAGAGCTCACTTAATAGGTTAATATTAAAATGGCTTTGAGTCATATACTTATGATGATGTGTGCAACTGCTTGTAATTTGCTCATTAAAGAAACCAAGCACGCCCTAACCGGTTTGGCTCAGTGGATAGAGCGTCAGCCTGTGGATGAAGGGTCCCGGGTTTGATTCCGGTCAAGGGCATGTGCCTGGGTTGCGGGTACATCCCCAGTAGGGGGTGTGCAGGGGGCAGCTGATCGATGTTTCTCTCTCATCGACGTTTCTAACTCTCTATCCCTCTCCCTTCCTCTCTGTAAAAAAATCAATAAAAAATATTCTTAAAAAAAGAACTTGGATACTATAGCCATTTCCTTCTATTTTCTTTCTTTTAAAAAATAATACTAGAGGCCTGGTGCATGAATTCATTCACAGGTGGGGTCCAGCCGGCCGGCCCCAATCAGGACAATAGAGCTAGGCCGGCGGTGGGTAGGGGCCGCAGGCTGTAGGCCAGCCGCCCCACCCCCTGGTCAAACTCCCAGTCAAACTTCCAGCTGAGGGGACAATGTGCATATTAGCCTTTTATTATATAGGATACTTTCATTGATTTCATAGAGGAAGAGAGTGAAAGATAGAAACATCAATGATGAGAGCAAGTCATGGATCGGCTGCCTCCAGCATGCCCTGGGGATTGAGCCCCCACCCCAGGCATGTGCCCTTGACCGGATTCCAACCTGGGACCCTTCAGTCTGCAGGCCGACACTCTACCCACTGAGCCACAGCAGCTAGGGCATTTGCACCCCATCCCATGAGTAGGCCACCGTTGGGAAAACAACATTCGATAAGACACTTGCCAGGCATTTTGTACCTGTTTTCAGCTCTAGACGGTCATGTCCCTGCTCAAATGTGTTTTTAACCCTAACGACTGGCATAAAACCTGATGTGTGGCTCTGGGTAAGTCACTGGCTCATTTGAAAAACTGGAGGCGTACAGCGCCCCCTAGGGGCTGCAGGTTAAATGAGAGGATGCTGGCACAGCACCTACACGGGGACTCGCAGGTGAGACGTTCAACGCCTGGCAGCTCTCACTATTCTCAGAATCTGATTATTGGATGATGACTGGAATGAATGAATGAATGAATGAATGAATGATGAATGAATGAATGATGAATGAATGAATGAATGATGACTGAATGAATGAATGATGAATACCTCGATGCAGAGTCCTAAAAGGTTTTGGCCACACCTGTTCCCTGTCCCTACAGATGCTGAGAGCCATGTCCATCCCTCATGATGAATGAATGATGAATGAATGATGAATGAATGAATGAATGAATGATGAATGAATACTTCGTGGCCTACAGTCATTACGGAATCAAATATGCCCGGCTGGTGTGGCTCATGGTTGAGAGTCACGGTTCCATTTCCGGTCAGGGCACAGGCCCGGGTTGCGGGCTCCATCCCCAGTAGGGGGCGTGCAGGAGGCAGCCGATCCGTGATTCTCTCTCATCATAGATGTTTCTATCCCCCTCTCCTTCTCCCTTCCTCTCTCTTAAAAAAAAAAATCAATAAAAACATAATTTTTAAAAAATAACCAGGAGGGATATATTTACAAGCATGAAGAGAATGAAATGGCACCCCGTCCCCCCAAGATCGGTACAAACACTCCTAAAAGCACTCGTTGCAATAATCAAGCCCCATGAGAACAACAAAATCCATATGAAAATATATTTCACATAAAAGAGACAGGAGTAACTATTGTTTGGGCTTCACACCCGCTGAACAGCAGGAGTTGAACTGGCCTGGGGTCTGCCCAGGGTGGAAGGGGGACCCCGCTCCCCAACCCCGGGAGCAGGAGGACGGGGCCTCGCAGGTGTAATCAACTTAAGGGCCTCAAGATGCGATCATCCTGGTTTACAGAGCGGGGCCCTCCGTCCAGTCACACGTGTCCTTAAAAGAGACAGAGCCGGGAGGTCACGGTTCGATTCCCCGTCAGGGCGCGGGCCCAGGGTTGCGGGCTCCATCCCCAGTGGGGGGCGCGCAGGAGGCGGCCGATCCCTGATTCTCTCTCATCATGGATGTTTCTCTCTCCCTCTCCCCTCCTCTCTGACATCAATAAAAACATATGTTTTTAAAACGCAATGCCATCCGAGAGGAAAACCCCAGTGTGGGCACCAGACTGGCCACCTCCCAGGCCCTGCGCTCTCGGGGCGTCCTGTCGGCGTTCCCGCGATCGCCGCGTCCAGGTCGGAGGAACCGGGGCGCAGGCAGAGTCCCCCGACCAGGCAACTCTCCCCCGGCCACCTGTCCCCTGGCTGTGGGCGCGGCCAGCGATGGAGAAATAACGGAGAGCGCATGCG